CCATGTGAGGTGTTGCCCCAGGGCCCTTACTGGCTCTCGACGCCACTGTCGGCTAGTGGATAGGGGGCATTCAGTACCGTACATGAGTAACAATTGCAATATTCAGTGAAGTGTCGTTTTTTTTATGAACCGTAACGGTGATTGATAAAACAACATTTATTAATTGAATTTGCGTGAATTTCTTTTGAAACACGTTTTTTACACTGAATTTTGACTGGGTATTCCAAAAAATGGTAATGCTAAACAATTGCCTTACACAGTAAAAGTTTACTGACAACTCACGGTTAATCGTTATAAAATAGATTATACCGCGATTGAAAATGGACGGCTGGACGGTTCGAAACAGGCCTTGCTTGTTTACCAACGTAGTGTTATCTTCAAGCAATACCCTATATACTCAAGTTTCAGAAGATGTTTGGACGATATTGTATGTCGTGCGTACAAAGCGACCCCCTGTTTTTCGATCGTAATATGCTATGTTAAGCCTCGTCTGTACTGTCGCACTTTGTAATAAACGTCGCACTTTGTAATACCTGTCGCACTTTGTAACAAATCTGTCACACTTTGTAATAACCTGTCACACTTTGTAATAACTGTTGTGGCACTTTGTAATAATCAAGCTGTCGCACTTTGTAATAGCTGCCTGTCACACTTTGTAATACGCAAATCTGTCGCACTTTGTAATAACTTTTTTCATTCAACTATGTTATAACTTTTGGATATAGAGTATTAACATATTTTAGGATGGCTAATACTACAAGGTCAATGTCATACAAGTTTTACAAATGATTTGTATTATAATTTTCCAACTTGGTGACTTACTGCGCACGTTATGTCGTACGTAATGCCAAATCAATAAAAAAAAAATGTGAGATTTTTTTTTCTTGTGCGCGTGCATGATACTACAAGGTCAAGGTCATAAACAAGTTTTACTTTTAATTTGAACTAGAATTTTTAAACTTGGTGGCTTACTGTGTTGTATTTAGTCCCAAATAAACGTATGTTGTGAGATTTTTGTTTATTGCGCTTGTGTATGGTACTACAAGGTCAAGGTCATATACAAGTTTCACAAATACTTGTGATTATAATTTTAAAACTAGGTGGCTTACTGCGTTGTATTTAATCACTTTAGAACGACTTTGGATTAAAGCCCAGATTAATGATTCGCCTGACTCGTTCTTCTTTTTAGCCATTGTGTATTTCCCCTGTGATGGAACAAATAAAGTATTAACGGATGAACTATACATATCACTTCTAGCAGAAACCTTAACAATTAAAGAAAATTATGAAGACCCAAACATAAAGATGTGTATAAGAGACAGGGTTATAACTCTCTGATCTCTGTGTCTCTTTACCTCCTGAGATTTTCTCGTCGTTTTTGTTGCATGTTCTCAGGACACCAATGGAAAAAATCTAGGCCTATGTAATTGATTTTTTCCCGCTATCCTGATCATAATCAACACTTTCATGTCTTTTTTTGTGTTTAAAATATTAATTGTTTATGATTTTTTTCAGTCCAGTTTTTAAGAATTGCCCCATCTGGGAAGAATAAAGATAAAATAAACAATTTTAACGAGACTTTATCGAGATTTTCGCTATTGTAAATTTGTTAAGAAACATCTTGTAAGTTTTAATTGTAATTATCTTAATAATTACATATTATTCTCGTTTTAATTTAGAATTTTAAATGCTAAAGCCTTGATGCGCTTAGCAATGAAAATGAAACTGCCGGATTAACACATGGGGTCTCCCTGTTTTCGTTTGTTGCCATGTTTACATCATCGCAAATACAGTGGTGCAATATTTCAAGAATGCCCACATAGGAACCTTGGCCCTCGCAGAGGGTCTAGTTTTAAATTGTTCAGAACATGCAGGTTTCTATTCGCTCTAATGCAACATTTGATTTAAAATTGACCGGAAATGTCAGATTTGACCTATGACCTTTGCTTTGCAGAAAATTTCCATATCTCCACAACTACTGTTTTTAGAGAAATCATTTTATTTATTTATTTATTTATTTATTACAAAGTTATGATAAGAGGGAACCATGGGCCTACGGCCCAACACAAAATGGGAACAATGTACAATAAGTAAGATTAGAACGGATTAGTGTCAGATTGGTTGGATGCATGTTTCTTTTCACCATAAATCAAGGTAATACAACAAAGACATTTCAATTAGCTAAAATATGCAAATTAGGAGTAAAATTATAGGTTTCGATAACTTTGTAAACAGTGGTCACAGAAACTATATTTTTGTTTTATATAGTTCAGAATACGTCAAATATAAACAAATATATACATATACTTGTTTTTAATACAGTACATGATAAATCGTACGTGTGTGTGGGTGTGGGGTGTGTGCGGGTGTATGTATTTTGGGATATTTTCTGGCAATTTAGATCCTACAGTAGAAAAATATCATTCAATGTATCTGCAATATCAAAGAGATAACATTTCTTAAGTTTTCCCATATTTTTTATTTGTATTCAAATCTTCAGAAGAATAATATTTATTTGTATATTTAATCTTGGAATTAACCTTGTTTCTTTGAATTTTACATTCTTTCCATTGCATTTGTTATGCTTGCCTTCCTTTTAAACAAATCGCTTTTGCCCATTTCATTTATCAGTTCATCGGAGAACCATGGGGTTACTTGTGACTTTTTTTAAGTGGTTCATGCCGATCAGCAACATTTAGATTCAAAGTGCATCAATAATGTCGTCATGATATGCTATATAGCCCAAGTTGACAGTTGCCATATCAAGAATAAGGTATTATTATTAAAACGTTTGTAGTTCCTACTTCTTGAACTTAGGCCTATGGTTAAATTTGATTTGCTTCTTATCTTTCTCAGTAGTGACATGGTCGACCACTGCGCTGCCGTATATGTAACAAACTCGGCCATAAACAGAACGCTTGTAGAGCTGAATAGGTAAAGGTAGGATAAAGGTAAAGGTAGGAGAATAACCCATAACTTGCAGCGTCATTGTGCTGAATTGCATATGGGCGTGGTCCGTGACTACCTAGCAGCCGTAAAAAGGCGCTTCTTGGTAGATGTTCACATCATTCCACAAAACGACAGGGGCTGAAAGATTCTCACAATGATTGTCATGATAACGAACGCTTTGT